TGGGCAAAAATTTCAAAATTGATGTATTGAACTTTCTTCTGCTTCTCTTATATTCCATAATATCAATTATATAGTTGGAGCCAAATCAACGTCAAGTCGTCTATGTTTGAAATATCCGAAACTTCCATTTTTGAAAGCTCAAGAACCAAAACAAGTTCTGTTCGATGTATCAGGAAAATTTATGAAAGGAATGAATGCTATACTTGGTAAAAATCTCATTCATACTTCTCTTTAAAAGCTATTTGTTGATTGTAATTTGAAAAGGTCCTTCTGGATGTGGAAAATCATCGCTACTCGATGTTCTCGCCGATCGAAAAGATCCGAATGGTCTTTCTGGACTTGTGCAAGTTGACGGAGCGCCACGTCATCCATCTTTTAAATATACTGTTGGTTATGTCGTTCAAGAAGATATTTGCAGTGGCACACTAACAGTTCGCGAAAATTTGTGGTTTTCAATTAATCTTCGTATGTCAAAAGAAGTGTTGACAACTGAAAAGAATGATCATGTTGCTCGTGTTATTAAAGAGCTTGGTCTTGAAGCTTGTGCAGATACACGTGTAGGTACAGAATTTCTTCGAGGTGTCTCTGGTGGTGAAAAGAAACGAACTTGTATTGGTATGGAATTGGTTTTATCGCCCAAGATCTTGTTTCTTGATGAACCGACCACAGGTAAGCCTATATATGCAACACATAAAGCGTGCACAGTAGTTTTCAAAGTCAATGTCGATCCGAGCTTGATAATAATCATCTAAAAAATAAATTTCAACATCAAATAAGATGATTTATTTCGGTGGACTAGGTCTCATGTGTCAAAGTTAACGAATCTACTTTGACCACTTGTTGCCAAGTCCTTTGTTTCCAACATAGTGAATATTCTATTCATAAGAAACAGATAGAATGTGAGGAATCTTATTTAATCTCAAAGAAATCTATATTAAAATGATGAGACATAATGAGCTGAAACGTAGTCAGCAAACTATTTAGGTTAAACAGTCTTTTGTGTCTTAACAAGCAGCTCTTCAAAATCGATAATAGTCTGAGAGCTCTAACTTTATCCTTATAGATCAGTGATTGCGATTAGAGCTGTTAATCACATCTTTTGACTAAAATAAACAGAAAATGGTTTTACTTGATCGGAGCTTTTACATGTGTCAGACATTTAATGAATACTGTAGAACTGATCTGTTTCTTAGACAACTTTCAATAGACACTACCGAAACTCTTTAGAGCATCCACTCGAATCAAAAACTTTACCAGTCTGAACATTCATTTTCGGATCATGGCAATAGATTTTTTTGTCCCACTTAGTCATTGTATTGACTAATGTAGAATCAGAATCAGTTCGATCTATGATGAAAAATGGCGAGTTATAATGAGTAAAATCGAAGAGAGATACATAGTTATCTGAACTTGATTAATGAAATAACAAGTAAAAAAATGCAATCTTGCATTGCTAGAGTGACTATAGAAGAGAAAATTATGTTACAATGGTAATTTATTTAATCATATTATGCATAATGAAGCATTGTGCCATTGGCAGGACTCGATGCATCAACGGCAACTAGCGTTATGAATTGTTTAAAAGATCTATCTCGACGAGAACGTACGTGTTATCATTGAATTCTTACTACTAAAAAAAGTATTAACCCATGTGTTTTTTTAAACTATAGGCACTGTCATATTTTCTATTCATCAGCCGCGCTACTCTATCTTTAAAATATTTGATACAGTAATGTTCATGTGCAAAGGTCGATGTGTTTATCATGCTTCACCGAAATACGTTGTTTCATACTTTGGTACACATGGATACCAATGTGAGCAATATGACAATCCAGCTGATTATGCATTAGATGTTTTAATTGATGTTAGTCGAAAGCCAGACACGCTGACAAGACTAAATAATATATACAATAGCACACGTGCGGATTTATTGACACTTCTTCACCCACAAGAAAGTTTAACCAGTAATGAAAATATGGAGCAGGAACGACGAAAATATGAGGTAGAAGCAGCTGGTTCGATGAGAGCAGAAATCTTTTATTTGTCACAGCGAACATTTCGAAATGCTGTGCGCAATCCTGCGCTAGCATTGTCGCAAACTCTTGTTTCTGTTGTTATCAGTTTGTTGGTCGGACTACTGTTTTACGACTTGAAGAAAACCATTGAACCTGGTGTTCAAAATCGACTTGGTGCTATTTTTTTCATTATAATGAGTCAGACTTTTAGCAACGTGACAGCAATTGAGCCGCTCATCGGTGAAAATGTACTTTTCATTCACGTAGGTTTTTTGAGAATGCTATAATGATATATTTTATTTCGTATCTTGAAGGAACGTACAAGTGGTTACTATAGAATCTTCACATTCTTCATTGCCAAATTAGTGTGCGACTTGTTACCTATGCGTATCATACCAGCAATTTTATTTTCTATCATCTCCTATTTTATGATTGGCTTAACTCGAACAGGTGGCCAATTCTTTATTTTTCTGTTGACAGTCTTCATGACCAATCTATTTGGATCAGCTTTATGCTTTTTCATTGCAGCCACTATACATGCCTTCGGTAAGATCACGGCTTTCCTATAATTATGCTCTAATTATTATTATTCAAAAAGATCTCACATGATTAAATAGAGAACAAAAAGTACGATTAATTATAGTCTCGTTCTGAGTTTGAAACAAGAAAAATTGGTGACAATAACGACTTCGCTATTAACATTGAAACTCTTAATATATAGACTCGGTTTGTTCAGGAAATAAAATAAATAATCATTATAAAGAACGAAAAAAGATATCGATCTATACTCTCCGAATCAACAATTGACCTATCGGTGCAAAATTTTACTAAGTACTTGCCGAAGTGAAACTGAGCTTCTATTGTGTAGTAATTATCTAGAATTTTCTCAAAATAAATATTTTTCTCTCTATATTATCTTGTGTCTGTTCATTGCAGCTGTGGCTTTAATCACTGTTATACTCATTTTTGTCGTTATGATGATGTTTACTGGATTTCTTATTGATTTGTCAAGTGTCTTTCCTTGGCTCTCGTGGATTCAGTGGATTAGTGCATTTCGATATGCTTCAAATGTACTTACTATTAGCGAATTTCAAGGTCTCACTTTCTGTTGGTCAAATGCAACCAATTTCTGTCCATTGACAGGTGATGAGATACTTGATAAGCGAGGACTCTCTCATGCTAGTTCATGGGATTTGTGGAAGAACTTTTTCGCATTGACAGTCATGGCTATAATGTTTTTTGTTTTAGCTTATATTCAACTTATCAGAATGAAAAAAACAAAATAACTCTAATGAATTATACCGATATTCATATTATAAATGAGATAACATCAAATATCTTGTTTCTATATTTTGATTCTAGTAAGTTTTATACTAAAATTCCTAATTTTTTTAATTTTTTTCTATTTGTGTATATCTCACTTGTACTTACTAATATTGAATAATAAAAAATAAACTTGAAATCAAGTCTGTTTTGTGGAACTCACATATACTTTCGAAGAAAATAGTGATTGTAAGTTTTAAGGTCAAGTCTTCGTGGCTCCCCTCCTCCATTACAGATCTTAGTAATCGACAATAATAGGTGTCAGATTTTCTAGAGTTTATTTTTCAAAATTGATCAAGTCATAATTTTGAAAAATAATGAATATCATTATTTGTGACTTGATTAATACATATGATAGTGCATAGGATCTGCTGCAGATGTTATGGATATGTAAAACAGACTTATTTGTCAATTAATTCAATGATTATTATAATAAGAATGTTAAATTAACAAAAAACGCATTAAAAATAAATAACGAATAGCAACAATGCAAAGAAAAAAATAGGGCTTCTGCAGAGAAAAATAAAAAAATTCTGTTCAAAATGCAGAAATTAGAGAGGTTGTTACTCTAGTGATTGATTATCCTGCATAACAGTTATAGTCTACGGGAGATTTATCACTTTACGTATTCTGTATTAGTTTAACGAGACTAGATAGCATATGTGAATTCCACATTTCAGCTCCAAAGGGGCTGCGCTGATAAGCTTTTCTTCCATGTATCGAGCAAAACCATCTGCATTGTCAGTAAGTAAAAGTACCGACAATATCAAAATTTTTTTTTTGAAAATGATACAGCGACGTTTGATGAGCGAATAGATTCCATTTAGTATTCAAGTTGAGTAAAATCTATTGTGAAGGTATCTTCCGATATTTTGTTTTACATCTAGAAACAAAAAGTCTCTTGTAAAAACGTTACAAAAAAATAGACATTTAGAAACACTCTGGCCTCGTTCTGGAGAGTGGATTTTGCGTGTGAGGTCTAGCTCTGTGTTTGCATGTGAAAGAATAGGATTGGCATTCACCCGCGTTAACACCTTTCATAATTAAGCAGTTATAGGGGTGTGGGATGTGGGTGTGGATTAAAAGAAGTCCTACACCCATAGCCATTTCTAAGTTTATTTAGCCATTCTAGATGAAAACTGCAGAAATAGGAAAAAAAGATACATGAGCCAGCAAATTGGAAAATCAGAGAAAAATTTAATCGAAATTGATCCCTCCCTTTTGCTATTATAACGCTTTTTATTCAGCACCTACTAATTGTTTTTGAATCGATAGAGAAATGTCCAGGCTATTCCGGAAACTAAAACTTAGTTCTTTCCGATATCGAGAACTTGAATTATGTAAGTTCTATGAGCGAAGTATTTTTTTCGGCAGAATTAGGTCCATTTGACTATTTTTATACTTTATTATGTATGCGAATGGTAGTTTTTCTCATCACTTCTATAGCAATCACTGGCAGCATACATTTAAATAGAATGTCAATTTTTTCTAATATTTTGATGTCAAAAATTGATCAGTAATATTATATATACAGGCAATCAAAGATGAAAAGCTACTAATTGACTTTGAACAGGGTACTTTTCTTAACTGGTATGACTCACAATACATACAGCGCTGAACGAGAATAAAGACTGCGTTTAAAGCAAACTGGTACAGGCAATTTGCTGAAGTGATGAAAAATCCGCTCATATCATATATCTTTGGATAGTGTGGCATGATTGAAAGGCCTCTGTCGTGCCTGTCTAGAGACGTGTGTAAAGAATACAAATTTATTGAAAAAAAATTGGATAGATGCATTTCTTATAGATAATTTTATTTTTGATGAAGCATCATTATTCATTTATGAACAAACTTGACTGTAATGACAAAAGATCACAGCATTCACCATCGGGTTATTTAATATTGCCGTTGTTCACGACGTCATATATGATATAGAATTAGTGTAGCGACTCTATGCCTCTGACTTCTGATCAAACATCAGAAGTAGTGTTCAACTGAGGTTGGGTGGGGCTACGAAAAAAGTTTCATTTTTCAAGATGGATCTGCAATATGAAAATTTTGCAAAGAGAAGAAGCACTTACAATGTTTTTTCATTTAAAAGTTCTGTAAGAGCTATTGGAAAACTTATTAGAACAAAGATGTAGATATTGCACGATCTTTTTTGTTCTAGTTCACTGACTTCTCTTTATTGACTTTGGACAATGATGCATAGTGAGTGCACTATCTGTTGAATGATGGCATAAAACTCGTAGGTTGTTCAAATAAGAAAACAAAGACAAATGAGATAAGCTATTTTGCATCCATGGTATTTCAATTGTAGAATATCACTAATATATCCTTCGTTTCCAAATAAGAAATGAAAGGAAGGGAAAAGAATCAAGAAATTAATTTTCTTGAAGCGAAAAGAAAAGCGGCAGATATTACAGTTCCAGCCAAGTCACAAAAATCATAGTTGAAATCGGATCGAGTCAGAAGAATTTGACCTATGTCGAACACTGATCAGAAGGTTCGATTGTTTGCCGTGGTACGTTGTCCTTATGTTCAAAAGTATGGGTGTCAGGTGTGGATGTAGCTCGTTTCTTCACCCACACCTCGCACCTTCCATTACCTCCTATACTTCCATCAAGAGAAAGTGGAAACAGCTTTCGGAAATTCAAATAAGGCATCATACGATTCATTTTTAATTTACTGTAGCATAAAACCATTGATCATGAACACTTTCAGCAAAAGTTGTAACAAAATCTTCTAATATCGAAGTCAATACAGTAGTAAAATTATATATACATTCATTTTATTTTTTGGAATTTTTCCGTTTTCAAAAACAAACTTTGATGTATCAGTTGGACTAGGTTCATAACTACTCGACATTTCAACTTTTCTCGTTCATCATTTTAAATGATCTTGTTGAGTTATTGAATAAACATAATTCGGTGATAGAGCACCACCAATTGCTATTAATGCAAGAGCATATTTAATTATTTCTTTAAATAAACTACTAACACAGACACTTACCTGTTAAACATGACAATGCTTCACCAAACCATTCAGAATCATAAACCTTAAATTAAATCAACAGATTTTTTGTTGTATGAGAGATAAAGTTGAAGAGACAATGTTATAGATTAAGAGAAACGAAATATGCTTATCATTTATCTATTCCTCGAATATGCATTACTCGTTTCGCTTTAGTTTGATTCGTAACCATTTTGATCATTACTACAATTGTCATTTATCAAATATTCTTATTTGATGAATAACATCTAAGGGTGCGGGTGTAGGTGTGAGTGTGGATGGGTGTGGGTGTAGGTGTGGGGTGTCGGTGTGAATGTGGGTGTGGCTGTGGGTCTCAATGAAGTGACATTCCAACCCCAAACATATACCCACACTCACACTTTCCTAACTTCATTCTTTAATTCGGATTACTATCAACGGAGTTATCGATGAAATATATTCGATTCTTGCCTATTTTTGTTTATTTAAAAATAAAGAAAAGACAGCGAAAATATCTTGTTTAATGTTGAGTTTGTTGCCGTTGTTTCTGCACATAGGTGATTGCATTGGTAAAATTGTTAACAAGTTCGGTATCATTTTGATCCATTTGTCGTTCACATGTCTTCTCTGCAATGGGCCGTATGAAACTTTCGTTGAAATGTTCTTTGAGTAGTTTCATCACTTCTGGACTTTTTGTTCCACTTTCTTGACAACTTACTTCATTAAAAAATTCACTCACCGCTCGTTTCAATAAGAAACCTCCAGAATCCGCATTCCTTTCAATTAATTTTTGCAAATCAACTCCTCGCCCTCGAGTCATGCCAAACTTCATACTGAGAGCTTGACGATAGCTGTGAATTGCTTGAGGATTGCTAGTCAAGCTATTATAAGCATTCATAAATTCTTTCTCACGTTCAATAGCTGGGCCTAGTAATCGACGAACATTATTATCCAATTGATTTTTCGTCTTTTCGAAAGTATCCCACTTGTCAGACGATTGCAAAATCTGGTTAATCACTTGACACGTTTGTTCGTTGAAGTCTCCACTGATCGATTTGAGTTGATCTACAGTTGATTTGAAAACATCACGAATAGCTTCTTGCTCACGATTAGCGACACGTTGAATAGCAGTTGGTAGAGCAATATCAAAGAAATCGGTTAACGGTAAATTATTGATTTGTTGACCGAAAGTTTGAAGAGCATTTGAGAGAACGGCTTTACCGTCGCCGTTGACCACATCTTGTATCATAGGTATTCGACGACGAATAATTTGGAACATCTCTTTTTCTTTGCCGCTGAACAATGATTGCTCAGTAAACATTCCCAACAGTTGATCGATACTACCTGACATATTTTGTCTTAACATTTTTTCTAAATCACCGTTGAATAATGTTTCTATGTCTTTGATTCCTTCAGGCAGTTTTTTCACAAAATTTAATGTATTCTTATCAACGCCTGCGATAGCCATGCCATCGAATGCAATGTGCTTGATAGCTTTCACAGAATTTTCTTGTGTAGCTATTTGACGAATGGCATTGATAGGAATGCCAGCAAACGTGTCTCGTTTTAATATTGCATCAATGTCGCCGGTGATCAATGCTTGTGCATCTTTGATTTGTTCTGGTAGTTTTTTCACGAAATCAATTCTGTTCGGATCGACACCTACCAAAGACATACCTTCAAGAGCGAGTTGTGTAGCGGTTTCTGCAGAAAAGCCTCTTTTAGCAATTTGATGAACAGCATTAAGAGGAAGGCCAGCCGACATGCCGCGTTCTAACATTGCATTTATATCACCGCTGAGCAATGCTTTTGCATCTTTCATTCGTTCGGGCAGTTGTTTAACAAAATCAATTGCTTTCGGATCCATACCTGTAATATTAATTCCATCGATAGTGAGTTGAGTAGCAGTTTCCAGAGAAATTCCCCGTCTATAAATTTGACGAACTGTATTTACAGGAATGCCAGCCAACATGCCTCGTTTAGATATTTCATCTATGTTTCCACTAAGCAATGCTTGTGCATCTTTGATTTGTTCTGGCAGTTTTTTAACAAAATTAACTTTGGTCGGATCGACACCTGCCAAAGTCATACCCTCCAGGGCAAGTTGTGTAACAGTTTCCGCTGAAAATCCATTTGTAGCAATCTGTCTAATAGCATGAACAGGAAGACCAGCCGTCTCGGCATATTTCAACATTTTCGTTATATCGCCATTTGCCATTGCTAGTACATCTTGAATTCGTTCTGGCAGTTTTTTAACGAAATCAATTGCATTTTGATCAACACCTGCTATAGCCATACCATCAACAGCGAGTTGTGCAGCAGTGTCCACTGAAAATCCATTTTTAGCAATCTGTTGAATAGCATTGACAGGAAGACCGGCCAACTTGCCTCGTTCCAATATTTTATTTATATCACCACTGAGCAAAGCTTCTGCATCTTTCATTCGCTCCGGAAGTTGTTTAACTAAATCGATTGTCTTCTGATCGACACCTTGAAAAGCCATGCCATCAACAGCAAGTTGTGCAACAGTTTCTACAGAAAATCCATTTTTAGCAATCTGTTGAATAGTTTTTACAGGAAGACCGGCCAACATGCCTCGTTCTAATATTTTGTTTATATCGCCACTAACCAATGCTTGTGCATCTTTGATTCGTTCCGGTAGTTGCTTAACTACATTAATAGCTTTCTGATCAACGCCTGCAATAGCCATGCCATCGACAGCGAGTTGAGTAGCAGTTTCTATCGAAAACCCATTTTTAACAATCTGTTGAATAGTTTTCACAGGAAGACCGGCCGATGCGCCTCGTTCCAACATTTTATTTATATCACCGCTGAGCAAAGCTTCGGCATCTTTTATTCGTTCCGGAAGTTTTTTAACAAAATCAATTGCTTTCTGATCTACACCTGCAAGTGTCATTCCACTGAGAGCGAGTTGTGTTAGATTTTCCATAGTGAATCCATTTTTATCAATTTGACGAACTGCATCGATAGCGACACCGACCATTTTGATTTTTTCTAATGAAATAATCGGTTCAAGAACTCCAGAAAGAGGTCCGCCTGTGCCTAATAATAGTTTGCCATATTTGATTACTTTAGCTTCGAAGTAACCGGTTAGATCGAAATCGGCTGTGATTCTTGTTGCTAAAATTCATGAAAATTTGCTTCTTTTTACTTAAATAGAAGATCTTAACACAACTTACCGACAGCTTTATAGACATCAAGAGCTCCATCAATAATCAACGATGTACCTAATCTGAATTGACCTTTCAGACACAAGTAGGCTCCACCAACAATTTGCGCTACTCCCATGACAAACACGAATACAGTCTTCCACCAACATCGTTTTACTTGAATGACAAATACGTAACGCCACATCAATCCTTCTCCAAGCCATTCTTCTCGTTCAGCATTAATATCGTTTGTCAGTGGTTCAAACTTTGTACCTTTTAAACAATCTAATGTTTCTGGCCAATGTTTAAACTCACAAGATATATCATGTTTTTCTTCGTCGAATTCACGCAATTGTTTACGGCTATCCTCAAAGGTTGAATGAACGATTTGAAGATAGACTAGTTCGGCGAGACTCGTTTGATCGATAGGTCCATTCGTCTACAATTAGAATTAGATTAAGATATTTGAATTTTTTTTTATCAGCATACTTTTGTTTCACCATCATCTGGCGTCGGTGGATCATGAAAAATTTCTAACATCTTGCGTATTTCAATTTCTATATTCAGCAATCGAATCGCTTCATCTAATGCTTGTATAGCTTGTTTGATCGATATTTGCTTATTTTCAATATGACACGGTACTGTATTATAATGCGCAATGAAGTCTTGTGAATCAATTTGTAATGCACATTTGTATAATTTCAATGCTTGCCCTTTTTTATCATTCAAACCATCCGTACACAAGGCATGAAAACCAGCATAGATGAAATATTTTGGATGGACAATTAGATGACTCACTGCTTGAAATTGAATATTGATTAAATCTTTTGCACCTTCGGAAGAATAGCTTTCTAAAATGGCAATTGATTCATTAATTTGTTGTCGAATATTGCTCTCAAAGTGTGGATAACGTTGTTCAGCTGTAGTTTCGTCTAGATCACAAAATGAAGCCCACAATTCACGAAGTGAACTAAAACCTGGCTTGAACATGTCATTAGCAAATGGAAGCTTATTCTTTTGTGAATGAGCTAGGTCGAGAAACCGAACAAGAAGTCGATCTTTGGTCTCGATTCGCTCAACTTCTTTTACAGCTTCAGCCATGTCACGTTCTTCACATTCATCTCGTGCAATTTTCCAACTATTGATTATTATAGGTTCATCAACTTTTCCTTCCAATTTCAGACCGAGACATTCATCGAAAACGATTAATCGAGCCGAACCCGGTTGGCCTTGTCGCCCTGCTCGTCCGAATGCTTGCTGTTCAATACGTGAGTTTCTCGGCATAAATGTCACAATAACATGTAGACCCCCTTGATCATTAACGACTGTCATCGTTTTCAAATCAGTTCCTCGTCCAGCTAGATTTGTGGCGACAATCACATCATTAGGAAAGACTTCTTCCGGTTTAATATGTTCAGCTAGATCACTTCGAAGATAGGATTTCAAGCGAGGATGTTGAGAACGTAATGCCAATTGAATGTCTTCAGCCTCACGTATGGTTTCACAAATAATTAAAACAGCTCGACGATTAGTAATGGCTATCGTACGACATTCGATTCGAATATTTTCCAACCATTTTTCACGACTTCGACTGAACTGACCTATCGAGAAACAATCTTTAGAAAGTGAGCTATAGAGAGTGTGAATGTGAATCTAGGTATTAGTCTTCTCTTCATGTACATCAATACTCGAGACCATGATATAAAAAACTTACTTGGATAGGTATCAAAAACACTGTCAATATATTTGGGCACATCGAAAGCATCGATGTCATAGACAGATCGAATAAAATTTCTTGCATCTTTGCCACCCAATGTTCCCGTTACTCCATATAGATGAGGTTGATATCGTTTGAAAAGAGTAACATTAGAAAAAAATGAATCACACATACGTTCGGGTGTCATACGTAAATTGTGTTTCAACTCAAGAAATTGATGCATACCATCGCTCCAATGCATATTCATCTGAGATACACCTGTATTTGCATAATCTACGACGACAATTCGTCCATCTTTACTAATGACATAATCAACATTAACTGTTAGGCCATAGAGTGCTTGTCTTGCACTTCTTATCCATTTAGGTAATTTAGCATCGATGTATTCTTGACGGTAAGCCGAAAAACGAACAAGCTCTTTCTCAGCCATTTTTCTACGAATAAATTGAACAACATCGACTAAAAGTAAAATAATTCTAAATTCAACTTTTTGCGCTGAACAAGAAAAAATCTTCTCACCTTTATAATATCCATTAGTTTGTCGAATGACAAATTCGTTATCTTCAGTAATATTAAATTTTTGAAAGAATGAATAAATAAATCTCAAGATAACGTTCAACGATTTGTAACCGGGTGTTAACGATGCTAATTGTGTATAATGTTGACGTTGATCAATGAACATACTGTCGACTTCATCAACAATAGCTGCTTCATAAGGTCGATTACCACGTATTTCTGTTTGCAAATAAAAATCTGTACGTAGAAGATCACCAGCAAAATGAGAGACTGTTCCATAGACAATATGAACATTGTAATTCGGCTTTGTAGATGGATCAGAGCAATTGTGTCCAACAGAAAGATGAAACATTTGATAGAGAGGTGCAAATTCATCGGCATCACGTTGAGCGAGAATTTCAGAGGTTGTGATTATATCGACGCGTTTGCTCAATGGAGGAAGTGAAAGATAGACAGCCACTAACCGAATAAACAAACGAAATTTGATGAAATTAGAATTTACTTTTTTTTTGGAGAAACTCTAGTAAAAGCCTAATCAAAGACTATTTTTTTACTCTCAAAATGGTTACTAGTAGAGATGTGCAGAAAGAAGTTTTTTTGGTCCTAGTCCTGCAATCTGTAGTGTCGAGCGAATATTTTCAGTCTTAGGTGAACAAATTACTGGAAAAATTAAGTGGTAGCTGCTCCATCATTTATTCCACGTAAGAATATAATGTCAATGGCCTCATCACAATCATACTCACAAACGAAAAAAACGAGAAATTGTCTAAACTTTATGAAGCAATGCCAAGTGAATAAGATGAACTAATGTAATAGGATAATGTTGAAGACATAGTTTGGTGCTCATAATGATGAAACTACTATGTTTTTAATAAAGACATGTAGATGATCGTAATTTGCTTATTGACTGAGATTTAATAGTTAGGGATTATATGATGTGTATTTTTGTGGACTACAGGACTACATGATTTTAGTGCAGGCCCCGTACATCTCTAGTAGCTACCCTTTTGACATGTTATTTCAAATTTGAGTATCAATCTATGTTCTCGTACAGAATTATTCAATCGTAATGCCATAGGATTATGTAAGAGATCGCTATGGTCAAAAAGAAAGTAATATTGGATAGGCATTGATCAAAGTGATTAAAATCGTGCTGAAAACATTCAAGAAATAATTGAAATTTTGCAATGTTGTTTATGAAAGTCATTTTCTGAGTAAAAAGTATCAGCCTCCAGGGAATAGTTATATTGAGCTTATGAAAAATTGACGTACAGATTGTATTACTATTAATATGAGCGAATCTCTTCTTACAATTGATATTCTATAATCTATTTGCATAAAACTAAGCAAGAAGAAAACTTTAACCCTTATTTTAGATAGTTTAGATATCTTGACTCTTTCGCAGAACTATATGTAAAATAGTTTAAAGTGTTCTATTTACGAGATACCTTGTGTGATGGTATATATCGCTGTTATCAAACATTAGCTTGAAATTTGAGGAAAAAAAAGATGTCCTCAAAACAAAAGTCGAATTTTTACATATTAATTCTGAACTTACACATCGAAACAATGATGGATTTGCCTTCACCGGTACGTATTTGTGCCAATCGTCCCCGACCTTGACGTGGATTTTCGATTAAAAGAAGGAGAGATAAAATTTGAATATCTCTTGGACGATATTGTTTATGAAGACGTGCCGCTTGAATAATGATGGCAATCGTTTTGAGTTCATCATCAAATATAGATTGTTGTCGAATATTTACCGATGTCAATTTAGATGCTTGTGTCTCGTAATAATGCATCACTTTTTGATATCGTTGCTCCAATTTGGTTATATTTAAAGATGGATTTTCACGGGCTAGCTCTTCCAAAAGTACAGAAACTGATTTTGCTTTGCCTTGTTCGTCAACAATTTTGTTCAATTCATTCATCCATTCACGGACTGAACGCATAGTAATTGTGTTGACAACCCGTTCGATGTGTGTCCGAAGTGAGATTCGATTTGTGACAATGGTTTCGATGACAAGCAAGGCTGTTTTTAATGATGAGACATTATTACTTATTTCTGCACTCATGAATTTACTCTCGAGTGAGAGAATCGCTGAACGATCCCATTTTACTTGAGATAATTCAGTAAGATTTTCACGTAGAATCACTTGATAGACATCCAATGGTTCTTCTTTTGCAGCATAAGAGATCGGTGTCTTTTGTGTTCTTGATGACGGTACAGATGAAAGAAGCTGATGAGTGAGATTCATGTCATCAAGGTATGAGCGATCAATTACACTAAAAGATATAACGGATATTTTTTTCAAATAATGCGATTCTTCATGATTATTATGGAAAACAATGTTGTGGAAGGCAATTCACTGACTTCCTAATGATTCCAAAAATAATTTACTTTTCTCAAGGTCCAAAGTAAAATTGGAATTGGAATATAAAAATGTATATGTGAACAGCACATTAGCTAAATATTTCGATTTGACTTCTAAAAAATAGAAAATACCTTTCATTTCGGTTTTTCGATCGCACTTGGTGCGCAGTTGAAGCCGAGTTGGATCGCTGTAGATCAAGATCGATTGTTGGCATAATTACTGGTGAAAAATCGAATGATATAGCATTTTCATTACTAGAATTATTCGTATCTGATTGAGCTGCAGCTAGTAGACAATCGAGCCATACATCAGATGGAATATCATCTGACTGAATGACTTTAAGAATAGTGTCTACTGGTAACATAGGTTTGATGACGACATTCTCCGTCAAAAGTTGACGCAAATGTCGCATATTTATTTCTAATTTTGTTGGTATTGACTTTTCGTACTGATTCGTCCAATTGACGATAGTGTGCAGTAAACGGGACTTTTCTTCATACTTCCATGATTTAAGTGCAAACAATCGGTCACACACGACATTATAATGATCGATTGCCAGATTAGATGATGCCATGAACAGACGGTATCTCTTTTAGTTCGACTCTAATGTGTATTTATAACAAGCAAGTAGCTAAATAAAAAACGGCCAATGAAGACAATGTAAAATTTCAAAACAAAAAAACTTTCGTTGATAATGATACTAATGATAATATGGCTAGCAAAGAAAGCGCATCCATAGAACATCAAGAGAGAAAATGAAAAGTCTATTGAATAAAACACGACCAAAATTTCATCAGAAGTGAGACATAGATAAGAACAAAAAACGAGTGGTTCTTTCTTCTTACGAAAGTAAGAAGAAATGAAAGTTGGAAGAATTATATTTTCCATATTGTTCTTATGTTGATTCGATAAGAAAGTGTGTTTTTTCCCCACAAAGTAACAAAATTTTGTCCACTCGTGCAGCATAGAGCAACACTTGATTCATACGGATACTCAAGTATGCGTCATTCGAATATACAAAGCTGTATAACATAACATAGAAGGCAAATCGAATGGCGAAGAAAAAGAAATGCAACGATAACAAGAACAAAAAAGAGTCCACATGTAAAGCTTCAAGAGAGAAAACGAAAATCTAACGATGAAAACCCACCATCACTGATCAACAGAAAAATAAGTAGACGACTTAGATGTTTACTGCTTAATTCTTCATTTTATTTCGAAGACAGGGTGTGGATGTGAGTGTGGTGATTCGCGGGTATATGTGTGTGCGTGACTGCCGCTTGGTGTGCGTACGGGGTTGCATGAGGGTTCATAAAATTTCATAGCCCGACAGACTTGTAACTGTAAATCTGTATGTTCTGTTTTATGTGCTTAAAATGAGTTCGATTTATTTCGTACACACTTGACACAATGTACATCCGAAAACACTTGGAAACAAACAAAGAACACGAAAAGAACGAGAAGAGAAAACGAGGAATAGATCTGACTACATAGATGATGGTATCGATCTACATATTATAAGCATGTTGGATAAATCCAAGTAGAAAATAAAGAAGTAGAAGAAGAAATCCAATATCGAGAATACGATGAATACCAGGAAAATTCCAACATAGCAATTAGGAATTTTCTAACATAGCGATAGGGAAAATTCTTATATTAACAGTAACCACACTCACACACATAGACTGCCATCGAGACCCACACCCACCCTGTATAGTTCGACAGCACTGAGTGTGTTGATAGTGAATATCACAATTTTTTTCAAAAATACTTAAATGATAAGAAAGATCTCAGCAACTCTCTGGGAGGCTTAAAAATCAGTTTTTGACCCAAAAGTTCATTAGATGCAGATTTTTTCCTGCTATCAGAATATGTGTGAATGTCTTGGATATTAATGTTTTTTATTATCGAAAAATGCGGAATACCAGCCTAATCTCGTGTTATTATTACAAACAATAATTTTTGAGTCTTGTGAAATTGTAGTTTCTCTGAGTGCGCTGCGCACCTACGGCATTTTTCTATCAGATATGTGATTGGATGTGTTCTTTCTTACGACATCATTGCCAACTTGCAATTCGATACTTAGTAAAGCTGTTTGGCTCTAATTACTTTACTTGATGGTAAATTTACGCCTTTTCCGACTAGTTTTCGAGCACAAGGAACCTAACTTAGTTTTAGGAAATGGCATAACTGACACCAGCACAAAATGCTTAGTCAACCTATATATTTTTCAAATTTTTTCTCCGACTTTGTTTTCGTTGCAATCATGACCTGTGGTTTCCTCAGAGACCGACGGAAAAAATGAATCCCATGATAACAAGCATTTAACTATGTAGACACTTCCCATTTGATCTCGAAATGACATTTTACATGGTTAGAACTGTGTTTACACTATAAAAACAGTTTGTCGATGAAATCTATTTGTCCATAGACCTCTGAGCAGGATCATGGGTCTAACTTTCAAAGAAAAAAAGTCGCAGAAAGAATTTGAAAAATACATAGCTTAAATCAATTTTTTGGACCGGTTTGCAAATATGTCATTTATTGAATCTAAATTGAGTTGCCTGCGCTCCAGACCGTCAAATATCAGTCGAAAACGACGTAAATTTACCATCAAGTAAAGTAATTAGAGCAAAACTGCCTTACTATGTATTAAATTTGAAGCTAAAAGTGATTTCATCAGAAAGAGTATAGTACATCAAATCACATATCTGGTTAAAAGAAACTTTGCTGGCACACTCTGGAAGACTACAGCTTCATGATATTCGAAAATTATTATTAATATATAGCAATACCACCAAATTGGAGCGATATTTCGTATTTTTCGATGAAGAAAACATGAATATCTAAAAGATTATTATATATATTCTGATAGGAAAAAAAAGTGCATCAAATGAAAGTGTTCTTGATAAATATAATCAGATTTTGATGAGGTTTCAGATCAAAAGCTGGTTTTGGATGTGGGTTCGAGAGAAGAAAATGTCAACACTCCACATCCACACCACAATGGGAAGAAAAGCGTTTTGCTGATTATTAGGATTTTATTTATGATCCTAATGTTGTTTATTTTTGAGATGTTAGTTTTTTATGTGCTGATATTATTCCGACACTTTATTACGTCTGGAATGTTCTCACAAACAAACAATCAACAATAATCAGAACGAAAGAAGAGCAGTACCAATAGAGATGAAAGATAGTGGAGGAAGGTCACAAGATATGTATATGTATAGGTGCGACATCACCCTAACACTGGTGAATGGCCGTGCCATTATTTTGAGATGATTTTAACAAAATAACCAATAATCATTCCAAGATTAATAGCACGATTCATGTTTTGACGAACGCGTTTGTCGCAATTTAATTTGGAGTAACTTTTATTATAAAATGTTGAACATACTGTTTTATATCGACAGAATTTGTTAGAATAGTTTTCATTATGTCTATTCCTATAACATCAACTATATAGTAACTCGTCTATCCCAACAGCAAATAAATCTCAGTATTTTTTGAATAAACGAGTGCATAGTCTTATGCAAATCTATATTCCCTAAGTATCTAGTAAAAGATCTGTTTTAGTATTCTTTATTTTTATAAAAAATTATGATATTCTTTTTTCAATTGCTAGTGTCGTTGGATAAAGTTAAAACAAATACGGACATATGATCGCCAATCTTCCTCTCAGTGTTTTCACGCTCTTCATCCTTCAAATTGTCTTTGAGTCAACATATTATATGTGGGTAAGATAGAATAATTATCCTATTATTTTGCTTATTTCAACGATACGTTTTTTTCTTTCTAGAGAACGTAAAAAAGGGTGTGGGTGTGAATGTAGACCCTCGGTTAATGAACATCCATGCTCAACACCCACATGCACACGCACAGTCACACCAACACCCACACCCTTGTTGTTCAGTTACTTTTTCATACATGATGTGATCATTTTTTTTCTCTGTATAGTCTACCTTATGATGAGATTTATTTTTCCATTTGATTGTCTTATTAATAATAAATGAGCAGATTAAGTCAAGGTCTGAATTTAAAATAAAAAATATTATTCAAATGACAAAAATTACTCAAAGTTCATATATTTTCTATCGTTTCTTTCAGCTAAATCCGTATTGCCATTTGAATCTTTATATATTGTATCAACAACAAAAGGATTCATCGATATAAACTCAAGTCAAACTAAGAAAAAATTGAGAAAAAAAATATATTTGAGAAAGCATATAAATCTGTTGGCTCTTACTCAAAAA